ATTGCTTCGGTCTGGTTTGGCGCAAACCTGAATTCAGACACGAGTTCTGGTGTATGCTCTGGGTGCTCACACTCTCCCAGCTCAGCTGCAATCAATTAGTTGAAAAGTTAAAAACATAAAGACCATGGGACGATCAGAAACATTTAATTTCATTATCTCCACAAAAACAATGACAGTTTGTAAGTTTCTAACTATGCTATACATTCATTTGATGTTGTGAATTAATCCCCCCACCCCTAAACTCAAATCAGTTTTTACAGCAAAAGTCAGACAAATCCATTTGCAGGAGCAGTGTAAGATTATGGTACAGAATTCTGACCTTCAAGAATGTTAAGACTAAACCTGCTTAACTAAAGCTGCTTCTCTGGATTTTAAAGCATTTAAAGGAAATAAATTTTCTATTAAAAATAAAAATCAATGCACTGCTGTTTCAGAAGAGGTTACTTTGAAACTTCCTCTTATTGCAATGAGGTCATATCTTTCATTCCAAAACACTTCCCATTCTATTGCATGCTTTGTTACATTATTGCTCATGTCAAAACATGAAAATAATGCCTAGTCTCAAGAAACAAGTGATAAAGTTGTGGGGTTTTTTTTAAAACCGCAATGGTGGTGTAATATTCAGATTGAGTAATTTTTAAGGAAAGAAATGCTGAAGCATTAACATAATTGAGGTTATCACTCTGTCCTGGTTTTGCTCAATTGTTATTTACTTAAGGCCTGGTACCTTCTTTTCTAGGAGCAGAACACTTTCAAACTCTACTGAGCTCAGCAGGAGATGCACGTGCTGAGCATCTCAGTGACTCACACCCGTAACTGTCTTGTGCCTGCGACACGCTTTGCTCCTGGAACCTCTCAGCTATACAAGAAGTCTGCAATATCCCTGCCTTGGCACTGCGAGACAAACATCAGTGGCAAGTACACTGTTCAGCAATACCATGTGTCACCTGATATATGATACGATTCCAAACCAGGCCTTTGTCAGTTGGTGTTTCTTGACTAGTATTATTACTACTACTAAAAAATAAAAAAAAGGCACGGAGGGGAATGAAATCCCTTGAAGAAAACAGTTTTATTGCTTCAGGCCAGATTTACACAAACTGTTGCAAAAATTTAATTCACACTCAGCCTTCAAAAATACCCAGCAGGATACATTAGAACACAGAAGTTACATTCAAAATGCAATCTGTTAACTGATATACCTGCTAGGTAGTTCAGCACTTGAGCTTTGCTCAAAAATTTAGCATTCCTGAGGATATTGAACAGAGTTCACTGATCTTAATTTCTAACTACTGACTCAAACACATTTTTTTCTCTTCAACAGTAATCTTCCATGGTGAGTTACAGTATTCTTATCCATATGTCTTTTTCTTTAACAGAGATAGGTCTGCTGCTGTTTCGTCTAAGCTGGAAGCTTATTTGACACAGAAGTTGCTAAGAATTACTGTCAGTCCAGTCTCCAGTACATAAGAGGGAGCCACAACAAACACATTAGCAAGGAGGACTTCAGGGAGAAAGTAAGAAACTGAAGTTTGATGGGTTGACAACCATCTAGGAAAAACATGAGAGATTTCTCTACTAGTTAACTGAGAGAGGAGGCAGGGAATGAAGGCTTGACTGTGCTGTAAAGAGGATGTGTAAGGATAAGAATCATGAGCACATAGGACAAAAGATACACAGAGAAGCTAGGGCAGAAGTACAAGAAAAATATCACCCTTATTTCTCAATACCTGCACTCACTATTTATTCACTTTCAGGCAAATAAACAATGTCATCATTTTGATCTCTAAGAAATAGTTCTTGACAGTAAGAGGTAGTAACAGTCTCATCAGCTCCCCGCACAGGGTAGAAGAGCAGCGGAATTGTAATTATAGCACATGCCAGCAGAGATAAATAAATTAGTTGCAGTAAGGAAATAATTTTGGAGAAACTTATTGCGATGTCAAAGTAGCAGAAAACTGAAACTGAAAAAAAGACAGCAGAAAAGTATAAAAATGCTACCACAATTTAAATATGTTCTCGCAGACAGTGTCAAGAAGTGTTAGTTTTAGTACATAGTTGGAGACATAAACATGATGGATGGCTACTGTATTACATTTACATAGTAGTCACAGGTTTTAATTACTACCCAAAATGTTGAGGCATCAACCTATTATGCTTTGTTGGTTCTTCCTGCTTAGAGCAGGGGTGAGGGTACTGGTGTTTTTATCTGTGAAAATGGAAACAACAAATCCAATACAGGCTCCAGACTTTCTCCATCTCACAAGGACAAAGGGAGTTTGCCTGCAGCAGTTCTTTGCACACCTAACAATCTGTGCCAGACTGGTGCAGATGGAAACTGAAAAATAACCCACTGCCTTAAGATTGCTGTTTGGAATTGAACTCCCAGTTTTCACTGTCAAGTCCATCTAGAATCACTGAGTTACCTCCTTTCCTGTGTTAAACTAAGAGACTTTGCCTAAGCACTCCGTGTACCATTGCCAACCACCAGCGGAACAGGGAGAGTATTTTTCATTTTGATTCATTTTGCTGCTGGTATTCCTAGAATGATCCAGATCACTGCACTTTCTTTTAGAAAAAAAATGAACTTGATTTGAGCTTCACTACACAAGTTTCCTCTCTATGGACAAAACAAACTGCCTGAAATTGAATGAATATTTGTATTAGCATGCTTGCAGCAATAAAAAAACCCCCACAACTCTTTCCTACAATAAACTAACGAAGCCTAGCATCCTAGAATTTTTTAAACCTTGTAACCCTTGCTCCTGACACAGAATTAAACTTAGCTCTTACCTTTACATATAATTCTCTTCCCTCCAGTCCCTGCCACCTGTTCCCTTCCGCCCTGTAGCCACCTCCTGTCTCACACAGCCCAGTGGCTCGCTCTCCCAGCAGCCGGCAGCCCGCGTTCACAGCTGCAGCCGCAGGGACCTGCCTGCCACAACGCGTGTGCCGAGGGGCCAGCTGGCTCTTCAGCCAACGGTCTGCGCACACAACACAGCTTCTCCCTCAGTGGGGAACTACTTGGGGTCTTTCTTCCCTAGTCAGCTCATGGTTTCAATGAAACCTTTGTCTATCCACGCCTTTGAGGATCCTTCTCCTCGGAAGCGTGCCAAGGTTGGCTCATGTAGTTCAGAAGTTATGAATGGAGGGAAGGCAGGCAATGACCTCCCTAAAATTCTTCTCCTCAGGTAAAGGAATGGCATTTATATATGATCAATGAGAAATTATTAGTAACAAAGCATGAAAAGAAACTAGCAGGCAAGTTTTTCTAGCAGGCAAGTTTTTTTTAATACATTAAGACAAAGCACTTTCAAAAGGCTGCATACCTTGAAGACACAGAGCTGCTAGCTCAACAGCAGTTTCATACGGGCATTTCAGTCTTAAAAATAAAAGAAAAAAGCTGTAAAAATAATGTCTTATTTCTCAGTGAGTTGTTCTTGCAGTAAAGCTAAAAAGTAGTTTGATATGTAAAATAGAAACATTAACTTCCACGAGATCTCTTAAACCACAAGGTATTAATGATCCAAAACATCTACAATTAATTTTTACTTGTATATGATTATTTCCTGATTTCGTACATTGTAATTAGCACTAAACATGATACTCTCCACCACAAAACAAGCTCGAAGTAATAGAGACAACACTAAATTGACTAAGAAACCATTTTTGCTCCAACACTGTATTTTGGAACACATGGTTTTAGGATGTTTTGTTTCTGTAATAATAGTAAAAAAAAAAAAAAAGAGCATGTGTGAATTTATTGGCCAAGGTGAAACTATAAACACACAAAATATTTTTGCAGGGTTGACCTGTACATAAAATGTTGCAATTCATCATCTTTTCCTCCTCTATTTTACCTACCATACTGAAAAATATGGCAAGTCCATGTTACATTTTCAAGTCATAAAAATCAGAGGACAGTCTTTGCTCTCTTTATACATTTCCATCACCTGGTCAATCCATCAAAGGTCTTTACCCATTTTATTTGTCAATAACATAGTCATGATGCACACAAAGCCATAGATCTCTGTATTCTAAGGGAAAAAAAATGCATGTGGAACTGTAAATCATGTTTATAATCTTTGCACAAATACCACAAAGAATTAAAAAGATCACACAGTTAAAAGTAAAATTTTAAATTACTAAGAGATTAACTATTATATTTTAAATGACAGCTGCAAGAGCAAAGAGGTACTTACTTCCCTGAAAGAATGTCTTGCCGGAGCTGTAATACAAACAGGTACCTGACAAATAAAAAAATCAGAAAGTCAAAAGTATGTATAATATCAACTTTCTAACCCCAATGGCTGGAAAAATAACCAAATTCATTGAGTAGTCACAACATTTTAATTAACTTGCTCTTAAAAAAAAAAAACAACAAAAAAACCCAAACCTTTGGGATCACTCAGATATACCATGCAACCTTCACAAAGTTCCCATTGCTTTCACTAAAATAAAAAAGATCAAAAAGAAGAGAACATTTTTCACCTACTGGTTGTGTTCAGGACACTGACCACAGCCTTGCTGTTTAGGGATGTGCTCTATCTGAGCACACACCACACCAACCTAAGTGTTACTGACACTCCAATGTTCTCCTGAACCAGGTCTTGCCCAACTCAAGCAAGAACTGAACTATAGGATCTAGAGACAAAAATGTAGAAGAAGGCATGAGGACTTCAGGGCTATTCTCTCAACCAGAAATACAGAACGTGGAAAAAGTCCAAACTGGGCAAAAGGAAAAGCTCAGACTGAATTTTCACTTAAAATAGAGAAAAAGTCTGAATAGAAGAAATCTGAATTCCACAGAGCCCACACATTTATTTAGGAGGCCAAGTAGGAATTTACAACCTTCTTACTGTAGTAGTGTTTTAAGCTCTTGCTAATCTTCAGTTCTAGGCATGCTTCATGTTTTATGGCCATTCAGAGCCGGGGTTAGAAGGACGCAGAAGTGCTCTAGGCCACACAAGAGCTCTGTAGAGGACAGGATGGCATGGGCAGGCTCTGCACTGCTCTGGACACTGCAGGGTGAGGCTGGCAATGATGAGTGACTCAAGAGAAGAAAGCATGAAGCATTACTGGGAGTCAACCCAGTAAATGTGAATGTAAATCTATCTTTACAATTGATGCTGGAAAGAAAGCGGTTTTCATCACAGAGGACGTGTTGTGAACATGGTGAAGGATGAGTAGTTGGAATTAGACAGGAGAACAGAAATGAAAAGGAAGGTTAAAAATACTTCTCCTGAGATGCTAAAGCAGAATCAGCCGTATCCACGTTAGCCCTGTGTCACATCTGATTCACATACTTGGCTAATACCTGACTTGCCAATCAAACCCGGGTATTAGCATGCATAGAATAAGGGCAGACAAATATATTTCCTGTTCTTATTGTTCTCCCCTGATGATTCACAATCCCATGAACTCTTCTAAATTTGCAAGAAAAATTTGGGCAGTGCTTCTATCAGTGTCAGCCAGCTGCAGCTCTGCTCTGGTTGGTATGGTTTACTCCTGCTCCTTTTCTGCATGCAGACTGATGAGCATCGGCATCTCAACTGTCAGTACTCCAGATCAGCAAAATACCTCAGAAAATTCTCCACAACACACATGTACAGACACATTCCTCTGTTGCTTTTCTAACGAAAGTAAATAATCATGTCCCATAAAAGTGACAGAAGGCATCTTCCAAAATGCATTGGATTTCAACTGTGTTTTTACACTGGAAAAAGACAGAATGAGTGAAGGTTTTCAACACTTCCCCATTACTCTGCTAATGTGATATTTACAGCTTCACTAGAAACAGGAGTCTACTAGAAAACAAGTCTTCAACAAGGAATTTCTAACCACCTCCACAACCAGGCCAGTTCATGGTTACTGTTAATGATCATTTTTCTTCCTCCTCTTACTTACATTCTATTTACACTTGGAATAATTCTGAGTATGTAGTTGTTAATCTTCACTTTTAGCTCAACATGTTATATGGAAAATACGATCCAGCCAGCGTAAAGATTCTTAAAAACCCAGGAACACTCAAAATTACTTTCCCCAACAAAAAAGAAAAATGCAACTATTTGTTCACCGTAAAATCAATTTCCAGCTCATTTTAATTTTTCTTCCATAGTTTCACAGTGGTTTTCTGTCAAGCTTATAGTTAAAAAAAATTGTTCATAACACTAAAAATTTAGCTGACTACAGTGTTTTTCTAATTAAAATAGTCTTCTGAAATGTCACCTTTCAGCAATAATTAGATTACAAAGTATCAGAGGTTAATACTTTCAGAGGAAATGTCTTACTGGATCACAGCAGTGATCACATAGCTCAGAAACTCACATGCTGCAGTGACTAGGATCGTACACTTCAGAGGATTAAGCAAGAAATCTTGTGGTAGACTGTAATGGAATAATTTGACCACAGGGGAAATGTAATACTTGTCAGACATGCACCCTGATGTATGAAGACTTACATAAATTTTCAGAAAATCCATATTATTCCTACTAATTTAACTGTATTTTCTTATTAAAGATGACAAAAAGTCATCCAGGTTTTTGGACTCTCTAAGATCTTATGCTCACTTACATAAATGGCAGAGAGTTTTATAGGTTAATTATACTTTGAATAGAAATATACCCTTTCATAGAATTAACATTGCTGCACTAAATTGATAATGGATATTAAAGCCTCCATGTCAGTATCATAAGCTGGTGACAATTAGCTCTTCGATATTGTCTCAGGCACTGAAAAAAAATACATGGTCAACACAGCAGACAGAAAAGGGGACAATAAACATACGCCTGCAGGTATAAGGTTAATGTAAACAACACTTGCACATGAACTACAACAATCAACAACCTTTAAACACCTTAGCCTGATTGGGAGTACACTGATTATTGCCAAGCAAATTAAAAGACACAGGAAGTGCCCTACAGTGAGAAACAGCACAACCCCC